CCCTTTTCACCATCCCTCTACTTCCTCTTTCTGCGTTATGCCGGTCTCTCCGCCGGCTGCCGCGCCGTTTCTCTCTCCCTCTTCTTCCGCCAGTCGCTCATTGAAAACCGGCTCTAGGGCTTCCAGCGTACCGGGTTTGCACGTATATGGATGCATCTCTCTCTACCATGAACACTTCTCTGTGCGTCTGCAGTATACACATACACGCGAACGCGCGCGTATATGCAGACGCTAGTAGCGCGCGGGACCGCGTGTCCGTATACGTTTGGTTACTTTATAGCGGCGACGTCAGAAACACGTGTACGGCTCGTTAGAACACGGCAAGCCGCCGCTCACGCTTATGTATCACCGGTATTTGTAACGATCGGCCGTCAACGGGGCAGCTTCCGAGGAGCAGCCTCCTCCGCAACTCTACAAACATTTATCAGAACTTATAAACACTCTTACCGCCGCGAGCTTTTCCGCCATCAGCGCGTTGCATCACTTAGTACGCGGTTGGGTGGCGCTTCCGATCGTCGATATCGACCGTGGGTATCGATTTGGTTGGGGAGGGAAGGGATTCAGGATAAAACAGTGTAAGAATTCTTATTTGGCTTTAGATTAATAGTTTTATTATTTTTCTTGTTATAATTTATCGAAGAATATTGTAGGTTAAATTGGCAACAAACTTGTTACGTATACGTGTTACATAGATTTTTGAAAATCTGATAAAGATAAATATACATGAATTACCGTTAGCTCGACATTACGAGAACGAACGAGAAACTGTTACGAAGTGTGAAACTAGGTTCCTGCCGGTACTTCCACTTTTCGTTCCGCACAATTAAAGATATAATCCGTTCAGTTGGTCCAACAAAGTTCTGAACTTGTTTCTCCGTGTCTTACGAACGGATGAAAGTATTCGAAACAGCTGTTAGTTACGTAAATGGTCACGGATTCGACACCAAAGGTCGTTGAAAAATTTGAATAACTCGTTAATTGTCGTTTTCGCACTTCCGAAACGTTCACCGTTACACCTCCCTAATCGTTTAATCGATGTCAAGTCGAACATCAATGACTCGCTTCTGAACGAGAAAAAGATCGCTTTAGGTTATGAAGGTGGCATTTGTGAAATGTGTCGCGCCAATGGTTGCCCGTCCAACAGGTTTACGCCGTTTAACGACGGGGAATCCCTGGTAAACATAAAAAAAGAACGTCGAAATTTCAATCTTTTGAGCGACGATTATCGAGAAACTACCGAAAACCTGTTTCACGCCGTGAAGAAAGTCGCGACAAGTGCAAGGCGAATTCCATGGTGTAGCGCATCGTACACAACCGATCATGATTTCAATGCCTTCGTGTATGGAAAGTATGTACAGTACATCTATAATTGAGTTTGCACAATACGCGATGACACGTACAGAAATGACGAATGAAACATCTGATTTTCCTCCGCACGGGGGTTTTATAATTTTCGCGAACCGCGAACATCGCGGATTATGTAACCATCGTGGTCTATACATAACCAAGCTGAATTGGAGCAAAGCCGTGTCGGCGTTCACGATTAAATAGAAGCACCGCGCGTCTCTATATATCATCGACGTAACCACAGTCATCTGGTGGTAATCACGCCCATAAAAACATTCGACGTTTTGACACTGGGCGGCGTTACCGTCTTCCTTTTTTTACCCGCGACGTTTAGTATCGGCCGCCAGTCCTATTGGCTCGTTTACAATTCTGATTTTCCTCACCAGCAAAATCCTTGGTCAATAAATTCTCGGCTCTTCGCCGTGGGCAAATAAAAATATCGCGCGAAATATCTGATGTGTACTACAGAATTTCTGTTATCTACCTCAGGTCAGGCTGAATAGATTCTGATCGTTGAATTTGACTGCTAGCGTCGTGCTTGTGACAAGGTTAGGTTTCATAGGCAACAGCTACAAGACACTTAACCTTACCTTTTCCTTCTCTTTCTTTTCAAATTGCATGTATCTTCAATATTGCGTAATAATAAAGAGAGGATAAATTAATCAAGTGGGTATATTTTTTTCGAACATGTGAACATTCACGGGTTCACATGAGGAAAACTAATGGACGTAATCGAGCTCCCGCGATAAATGTCGTCGTTCGCGTCCCGCAATCCGACCTTTTCCCCGTTGCTTCTGACGTCCAACTACGACAGGCTCTCGCGAGCCAGTTCGATTTCATAGATTTTTTTCCAAACAGTTGCGCTCGCTTACGCGGCCAAGCATCGCGACCTCCTGTGTTCGGTACCTCGGCACGGTTTGCAGGACATGTAAACCGCATAGGTGTAAACCGGAGTGCACGCGTATTCGTATAGGGCGGCCTCCGCCTCCAGTACATACACACATACACACACGTAGGCACAGAGGACGGGTGGAACATCTAACCAAGGTATATAGGCAGCGGGGACTAGGTACTATCTGGTATCTAGTAATACCGGGTACGTACGCGCCGCGGACGCCAAATAGTGGTTCGCATATTCAGAGAGATAGCGACGTCGCTCGGTACGATCGCCCCTGATTTAGGCCTCGTTCCCTCTCTCTGTCTCTCTTTCTCCGTTCAGTCTGTCTCTGTTCTACCCGTGTCGCCCCCTGTCTCCCTCTCTATCGCTCTTCATCCCTCCTTTCCTTCGCCCTCGGTCGTTCCATCTCCCAACGCGCGCGCTAACACACCCGTGGCTCGGGTATACCGCGCATGTGTTGATCCATACACGTACACAGCTACACATAGCACTCTGGTCGCGTCCACGGATAACGTCCTCGATACGGCGGCGGCCAGCGGCGAGCACGACATCGAGGCGTCCCGAAAAGCGCTATCTCGCGGCACCCCGCTCGAAGCCGACCAATCAGCGCTTCGATCCACGCTTTCGACCGTCGCGCTTTGATCATGTACCCTGCGACTGATACCCACGAGCATCGTCTCGGCGTAAATCACGTCCTCTCTTTCTCTTTCTATCTTTCTCTCTCTGGTCCTCTTCCGTGCACGTAGATCAGGGGAATTATCGATAGCGTGTTGTGTATGTGTATGTGCGTCTGCGTGTGTATGTATGTGTGATGGAATTAAGGGATTTTTGTCCTTTTAGATTGTCGCAATCGCGAATGTGTACCGTTTCTCCACCGATAGAGGGCAAACGTGGCACCTTTTTTATTTTGCGATTATTTGCACGAAGGTTTTATTGTATAAACGTCAAGTTTTATTTGATTGGTTTCTTATGGGTTGGTTGGATACCGTTTTTGAACAAAGGACGTGAAGTTTCATTGGTAAAATTTCACCGCAACGAATTGTGACCTTGCAACATATAGTCGTTTCAGTTTTGCGATCCAAGTAGCGTGATATATCGCGAGGGTCACGGAAACCTTGAAATTCGACTGGATATTTGTTGATATTCCTTTAAACTGATCGTTATAAATCCCAACGAATAATTACAAGTTTCGATAAAGAAATTACTGTTTGACATCGTTTCATCCACTTTAAACCGTTCCATAGATGGGAAAAATCTTCTAGACTTCTCTGCCAACAGATCGACTGTATCTTCGGAGAAGCGTAGTTTTTACAATATCCATGATTCTTATACCCGTACATCCACAAATCGACCTTTACATTTCATATTTATTATTTAACCTCTTCCAGCAAAACTTTTTGTATGTCTTTTTGTAAAATATATTACATATTTAAAGTCTTTGTTCCCTCCAACGAGCAAAAACATCATTCTTTAAATAGCCGAAGCTTCACGCCTGAGCACGTTCCGCTTTAAAACATCTGCAAGTTGGTCACGCGACACCGGGCGAAAAACTACTACAGTCTATCGACGGAAGGAAAACGGACTGAAAACCTTCGGCACTCGTAATTTCCCTACGCTCCGTATGTATCACCATAGAGCGTGTCGTTACATATCCAGCGATATATTCAAGCTGTAGATAAAGCGCTCGCGTTGTCCTCTGGTAATAAATTACCGCGCGCGCCACGTAAGTTCATGGTTGAGAAACACTGAGCGCAGCTGCCGCGGCGACGGTATCTCCGCGTTGTCTGCTACCTCACACCCTCGTCTTGCGTCCCACGTGGGTGCCGGTCGAAGGGGTCGCGCGGAACGACGGGGACGCGCGGAGCCAAGTGAGAGGTCGGAGGGGGTGGGCAACGGCAATGGGCGAGGAAGCGGTACCGGTGGCGTCGGGGCGGCTGGTGGAGGGCGGGAGGCATGACGATCCGGGGGAGAACGGTGGTGAAGGGGTCGGAGAATAGGGTGAGGTTAGGTCGGGTGGACAGAGGGGGCGGAAGTGGGTGAAGGGATCGAGGGATAGCTGCACCACCCACTGACCATCTCTGCCCTACCCTGGCCCAGGCTACACGCTCGCAAAAAAAGACTGGTTTCTATCCGTTCCAAGATGCGGGAAAGGGCGAGGCGCCCCTTCAACTAATCTCAAAAGCATCGTAGATCCCCTCCTTACAAATTTGGTGGAAATCGGTGGATTTTTAGTGACGTCTTATGGTTTTTCGTCTCGTAAAACGATAAAAGAGAGCACAACTTATCACACGTAGAAAAGTTTTCATGTATCGAAGTATTATTCCTTTCTCTTTTCATTTTGTTGACCGTCTTTCTCTGTTTACGATACCATTCGGTGATTCCCGTTGTACGACCGAGAATACGCATGGGCAGCCACGTGCTCCGCCGGTGCATTTCAATGTATACACTTCTCGTGTGGACGATTAGTAGCTGTGTGTGGGATGTATTTACTCTTTAGTATTGTTATTATTATTACTTCTGCGTTTTCATGTGAAACTAACGGTAAGGCGGTGTTACGTAATGTATCGACAGTCGGTATGGCAAATTTTACTAACAAAGTTTGAAACAGTTTTCTAGTTTATCGGCAGTTGACATTGCAATTTACTTTATTGTTAAATAGTAGACGTTTCCTTGCAATCAACAAGTGTTCTTACTTATTGCATTACAAATGTTCCTGCTTATGATATCGCATTCATGGCATTACTTCTGTTTACAGCCGAGGCAGCTGCGTTCACCTACATGGTTACAACAATTTCGAAAAGGCAATTCCTTTGAGTGTGCGACATTTCTCACGAGCTTACTACTGGGACAGGGATATAATGCATACGTAGTGAGTGGCTATGCGTCCAGAGAACAAACTCTGTGCGATTTAACAAGGCGGCCGTGCCCTTACTTACCACAATCAGAGAAGCTCCATGTAGTTCAACCGGTACAAGTTCAAACTGAAATTACAAAGTATAAATTCAAACCCCCCACCGAATACAAAAGCGAATTTTTATCAGAATTAGAGGAAGAAAAAGCAAGAAGATTGCAGGAAAAATTACTTCAGGATGAAAGGGAACAACAAAAGTTGATCGAGGTAATTAAAATCGCCATTTACCTTAGGATTTATTGAACATTACCCATTGATCCTTTTCTGAATAGAATTACTTCCGGATTTAGGAATTAGAACAGCTTCCGGTAGATGAATATTGGGGATACAGAATACATGCATGGGTAACGATTTTACCAGAGATGGGTGGACTAAGAGACCAGGAGATTTCTTACCCGCTTTTTATCGAATCTACCACTGGTGCATCTTACAACGCCACAGACGATGATACAGCTCAGTTATATCTAGGTGTAGAGAGTATATGGAATGACAAGAATTATTGGGTAAATATGCAGAAGTCCGCGAAATCGTGCGTGAACATAGTGTGGGATTTGATGAAAGTGGAACTATGGGAACATTTGCTTCCCGGAGAACCGTGGACAATGCGCGGCGTAGGAGAGGATATCGAGGAAGATATCGCCGTGCAACAAGAGAAGCATTTGGACATGCCGTTCTCATATGTGAAAGAAATAGATATCAGCGTACAAGGTATACGTAATTTCCAATTTTTTTTTATCGTGTTAATAAAATTTTTGATTCTGTTTTGCAGATTTTGACAAAAGGTACCCGAACGGTACAAAAACGATATTTTATAAAAAAGCGAAGGTCGAACAGTATGCACCGTATCTTCAAACGGATGGAATGATACAGAGAGTTACACTATATGATGATTATAATTGCATGAATCCCATTGAAGTATATGAAAATTATTCGAACAGATCTGACAATCTTGTAGAATCACGAAGAAATTTGAACGATGATGCTGTTATAGATTATTACGCTAGAGGCCGATCAGATCAGTGCCAAGGTATATATGTTGAAATATTTCTACTTCGTTAATATATTAATAAACTTTTCTTTACACGAAATGCAATTTACAGAACATCGATATTTTCTCAATTGTATTTCTACGGTGGATAGCGAGCGAATTTTACATTTTTATCAGATAGCTCGTTTCGATGGACTGTCGAATATAGAAATGCATCCGACCTATATGACGCAACATTTCGTCGATCGCGATGATTTCCTGTATTACCGGTAAGCAATTATTTGCCGTTGAGTCATTAAAATATAAAATATAATGCCGTACAATGATAAAACCAGAGTTTCGATCGGCTTGAGAATAGGCATGTGCAGTTCACTCGAGAAAAAAATGTCACTGTTCAACAAGACATTCATTACCGACATATCGGGGTAAGGTAGAATTTAACATTATTTTAATTGGTTGTGGCTCAAAATTATGCTAATGCATTGGATTAAATTTATAGAAAATTGTCGAGAAATTTAATAGAGATGAACGAATTATAGCGAACAAGAACATAGCGATTCGTGAATTCGCTATCGGCGAGAACAAAATACATATTACGTATCATTATAAGCCAGGTCGATTTACCAGAGCCACGCGAATGTATGTGAAGCCACCATTAGCAGAAAGGGGAGACCGGCTGGTTCTTAACCCATCAATGACACATGGATATAATGTGCGATTTTATTTCTCCTATCCCTAAATATATTTAATGAAAATATATTCCGTTTTATAATTTTATTTTCAGCCTCTAGACGAACCTGACAAGTCCCTCGATTTGTTATACGAACTGGGCACACAACTGAATGAGGAGGATACGGCTATATCTCAAATTAGAGCTGCTGAAAAGGAAATATTCTCTTTCCTTGAAGCGAGAGATAACGAATATTTGACACCAAAGCTGTTGATCTCTATATATGACAAGCTTAGAGAGCCAGAATATATGGCTGAAATATACGCAACACGAGCACAAAGTCAAAAAGACATTACGAAAATTGTGGATTATTTGCAACCGTATCTAGCTCGTATAGGAAATCTAGCAGAAATATCGAAGTCTAATGCAAGTATGATACGATACGAGTGTCTTAATGATTACAAGCAATTACTTATACGCAGAGCAAATAAGATCTTGCACAAGTTCGACGAATACTCGCATGAACTGGTAAAGGTCCAAGCAGGATTGACACAGGTGAAATAATTTTACATAGAATCGTGTTGTTTTGTATATTTGTGTGATACAAAATGCAATGTAGAAATACAACGTTCTCTTGCAGAGCGAAGATTTAACACGCGAAGAGGAAGAACAAGTATTCAACAAGATGAACGAAATCAATTTTTACTTGCAAACATTAGAGACTAGATTGAATCGTCACAGAGAGTTGGTTCCTAAACGATACAAGATGTTGATGGAACATTTACAGAGAAGTCCGTATCTTTCGGTGCTTCAACATAAACTTAAATAACAGATTGACAATTTTATTCACTGAAAAGACCAAGACCCCATTTGTCCGATACATCGACCTAAAATAATTTTAAGATGTGAACATCCTAAACTTTCATCAGAGCTTTCATGTTACCTACCTTCATCGTCGAACGTGGCTAATGTGAATTTACTGAGTTTATTAGTAAAGCTTCCGGTATTAGAACCTATCGTATGATCCGTTAAACGATCGGTATTTGCAACATCACCGTTAGTCCCGTGTCGACGATGTTCTTCGGCGAAACCAGAAATCAACGTATCCATCATTATTGCCTAACGATAAAATCAATTCTAACTGCCTGAAATTAATAAAATGAATTTTGCTAAAAATAAATCATACTTGTCTTGAGAATACTTGTAGAATTTTATAAACTCGCGCTCCGTTCTCTCGTATAGGAAACTGTAGAAATAAACAAGGCAGACAGTCCAGATTACCTTCGTCAGAAGGCTTTGCCATTTCCCAGCTTAACTCTGAATACCTTAGACCCAATAATAAACTCTGTACAAAAGTTATTTATAACGTATCATTCAAACGATAATTAGTTATCGTATAACGTTAGATTCCTTACGCATTGGATGTCGTCCACGACATATACACCCGACGAATTAATAGCTATAAGTACGTGCATATCACGATTTGTGATCCACGATGCAAGGCCCCTCACAGGACGTTCGATTTGACCTTGAAAGAAAGCTGCACCGTAACACGGTAAACTCCAGCAAAATTCCAAATATTTTCTGATGAGTTTCCTCGAATTCGTATTAGTTCCCGTGTGATTAGGTATTCGTTTGTACTGTTCGAGGAGGCGAGTCTCTGGTGCACCTTTTCCTCCTACTAATCCCAATCCAACGCCGAGTCCTAATAATAGACTAGGAGAAGTGTAATGATGAGGTAAAAATCGACCACGATGTCTTCTAAAGAACGCTAACGTGTGACTTTGAGGATTATACGGGCCTAATTCAATGCGTGCCTGCAACGCTCCCAAACTTGCATATCTTGCTTGACCTTCACAAGGGTAACGCCCTAAAATATATTTATAAATATATTATATACATATACTAATAAATCCATGAAATGAAATGTCTTACCCTGTAACACATTATTTCTAGCCTCTGCATACAATAGTTCTAACACTTTAGCTTCTTTTATTTGTTCCTCATCTGAACGAGAAAGAAACACATTTCTCCTAAGGCACAGCAATGGTTCTTCATCTGTGTCTTCCCTCTGAGAACTGTACTTCTTTACCAAACGATTCCATTTGGCAGCCAACTCTATAGGCTTATGATTTGGACGTAATTGCACTTCTAATCTTGAAGAACAAAGCCATAAAGCAAATACTGTTTGACCAGTGAACAAAGGGGTTCTTGTTAATCCCAGTTCCCCTTCGGATTGTATCATTGCAAGAATTTGGTGTGCAGTGGAATTTTGTTCAATATCCATTGTTAGAAAAATTCCAGTCATTAAGTATACAGCTATTCTTACAGTAGATCTTCCAACATTTAAGTATTGTGATTGATTCACCAGCATTGCTAAATAGAACACCATTATAACAAAGAATTGTTTTTATGTTTATAAAAACAATGTTGCTACTTACAACTTGTATGTCCATCAGGTTTGTAATCATTTTGATAATGACGAATGGGTTGTCCTCTTCTAATTGTACAATCTTCCTGTGTTTCCATGTTTTTTGCAATTTCCAACTGATCACATAATGTATATTTAATATTTCATTTTATTCAATATCATTCACAAATTTAATGTTAGAAAAATATGTTGATTTATCTATATTTTTACTTTCATTTATGAATGTTGACATTCAATGTATTGTTGAATGTCTATTCCTGTCACTGCTCCCATGGGTACTATTGAGTACCTTATAATATAATAAGTTAATAACATAAATATAAACAGTATTTATAAATAAAAATAATAAGCAACTTTTGTTTTTGAGTGGAACAATGAAAACTGCTCAGTAAATTCTAATTAATCTTTGCAGGATGCTAAACCAAAACACTGTTCTGCTGCCATCTAAAGTAGGAAACCACTTATTGATTATTTCACCTCAACCAAAATAAAATTTACATTTTTGTAAAAATTTATTACACTCTAAAAAGTTAATCAATTTTTACTACTACACATTTGCCTAGTACTTTTAGAAATTAAACATATGAGTGAAAAAACGAATTAATTATAAAAGTGATGTACTTACGGAAGAGTAGTGTCACTTTAAACGACCGCTTTTAATCAAACAAATGCATGGAAAATATAATTTTTACGAATTCGAGTAAAAATAGTTCTTTTTACATAAATTCTTAGTTAATACAATTTAAAATCTTAAGGTTATATTAAGTCCGCTACATTCATAGGCATCTCGTCGATTTGTGTTGAATAATATTGTTCGATATCTCGAAGAATCCTTATGTCATCGGTTTTTACAAAATTAATTGACACACCTTTTCTTCCAAAACGTCCTGATCGTCCTATTCTATGGATATACAACTCACGATTGTTAGGTAGATCATAATTGATTACAAGGGACACTTGCTGAACATCTATTCCTCTTGCCCATACATCAGTTGTAATTAAAACACGACTAGAAAATAACAAAATAACGTAAATCTTATTATGTACTGCAAAATTAAAATATGATTTGCTACAAAAAACACACCTTTGTCCAGATCTAAATTCTTTCATTATATTATCTCTTTCTTTCTGTGGCATATCACCATGCATAGAGCAAACTGTGAAGTTAGCCTCTCTCATTTTTTCAGTTAACCAATCTACTTTACGTTTAGTATTACAAAAAATTACTGCTTGTGTTATTGTCAGCGTATCATACAAGTCACATAGTGTGTCAAATTTCCATTCTTCTCTTTCAACAGCCACAAAGAACTGTTTTATACCTTCTAATGTCAATTCATCACTGTAACCAAAAATCAGTTAGTTTCAATTCAGTAAATTTTCCTTATGTGTAAAAAAAAACTTTGAACTTACCGTTTTACAAGAATACGAATGGGGTCTGTCATGAATTTACTTGTCATTTCAAGAATTTCGTGTGGCAGTGTTGCGGACACTAATACAACTTGTGTTGCAGGTGGTAAATATCTATATACATCATAAATCTGTTCTTTGAAACCCTTATTTAACATTTCATCTGATTCATCAAGAACTAACATTTTTATAGCTCTAGTCCTGAGAACTCTTCTTTTTATCATATCTGAAAATTATCAAAAAATTATCAAGTTTACCAATATTATCCTATAATGGTTAGGTTATGTTCTTATAATTTTCCTTTATATAATAAAAATTACCAAATACTCTGCCAGGTGTGCCTGATACAACATGTTGCCCATAATCTAATTTTCTGATATCTTCTCCAAGATTAGTACCACCTATACAAGCATGACATTGAACATTCATAAAATCTCCAAGGGCTAGAATAACTTTCTGTATTTGTGTTGCCAATTCTCTCGTAGGAGATAAGACTAATACTTGTGTTTCTCTGATCTGTGTGTCTAAAGACTGCAATATAGCAATTGAAAATGTTGCCGTTTTTCCTGTACCAGACTGAGCTTGTGCTATTACGTCTCGTCCTTTCATAATCGGTTTAATAGATCTCTGCTGAATAGCTGATGGCTTTTCAAAACCTGTAGTTAAAATATTATTTTATGAATATCTATAAAAAAATGTATTTACAAACACTACTTTACAAATATAAAAGGATATTTGAGGTCAATTGTAAATGAGGTTATGTTTAACAAAATAAGATTTTTATAGTACCGTAAGCGTAAATTCCGCGCAACAACTCATCTCTAAGCCCCATATTATCGAATGTTGGAATAACTTCCACATCTTCACTGGTTTCAAACTCAACGTTTGATAAATCTTCTGTTTGTGCTACGCGACGTGATTTTGCTTCAGCCATTTTCGTAATAACTTGGTGAATTTTGGATATAAATGATGTGAAGGTAGGAAAATTTAGACGCATTGAACAGGTTAGCCAAACACAA